GCTCTACCGGAACTGTATTAAAAATGAGATACTGAATCGATTAAATTCATAACTTGAACGACGATATGGTACAAGTGAATTGTACTCGTAACGTGCGCCAAGTTCCTCATTCGTGGATTTAAACATAAATTTAAACTTTTCATTGCCGAGCGCTGTACGGTATTAAGTTATTTGGGATGCTTTTGCGGTGCTAAGAAGATCGGCTTGGAATCCTGATAAAATTCCTATAAGCGCTAGTTTTTTGAGCAATGAATTCAACTCACTCTGTTTCGATTCAACCAGCCGAGCAATGGGTCGAAAGTCGTTGAGTTGCGAATAGTAGGGTCAACATTATGCTTTAGTGTGGTCGTGCCAAAGCGTGACAGTCACACTGCCATTCCGTCTGGTTTGAGCGATTTTTAGGGCTGAAATTCACCTTGACCAATCTGATAGCTGACTAAAAATCAGTGCTGACCAATGCCCTATCGAACGCCGTTTTTTGCTTTGCTAATGAACTTCTTCTATGTCATTTAAACTTGAGGTAAATCCTGACAAATGGTAGTATTATGTAATGCATGTTTCTTCGTGAGGCTGCTTTCTCAAAATTTATAACAATGTGTCTCCATCGTTCTTCGTATGCTAAGAACCAATTTTATCCAAGCGACCTGCTCTGTCCGGCGGTGATACGACTCCATTCTATTTGTAGACTAAAGTTCTGTAAAGCAAAGGTATGTTGTGGAAGTAACGGACATACGTAGATGCACACTTTGTGGTCAACAAATATTCAGTGCACGGAGATGGCCCGTCTTATAGTGTTCGTCACTTCCAAAGGGCCAGTCAGACAGTACGATTGGACGGTTTGTTTCTTCTGATCTGCGCAACTGGTTCCTTTCTGACCGTACATCACAAATCGACAAATCAGCTTCGATGACACCATTTCTTCTTGGTCGTATGTCATCGCGGCGCAAGAATGCTAACGTGCAAAACACCTGGCACATCCATGGTTGTTTGTACGCAAACTTTTCTTCAGATTAGAGGGTCACACGCACGGAGATTAAAGGGACAGCCGCACGTTCACTTCACTATGGAGGCATGACACCTTCTAATGCTGATTATAATCGAAGTATCCTTTTCTTAGCCAGACAGGTCTTAAAGATATCATTAGGTGTGCACTGTCATAGTTGATATAACATGCATTGGCTGAATGCTTGTGGTGACCACGGTTACTGTACTGGTAATGGAGAATACAGAAATCTGGTGATTTCATCTTTTCTATGCGGTCGTTGCTCACTACCAGTACGTCGACAGATATTGTGATATCACCGATAAACAGACCATGTCTAACTCAGTCCTTATCCAGTAATTACCAGCGTTTTTGTCTGATGGAAGTTAACGCAGATGGGGAGGGAGGGACGATGAGAATTTTGATGACATGAAAGGGATATCTTTTCATTTTCGTCATCTTGCTGCTTCTCACATTAATTCTTTACTCGGTAGTGTGTATGCAAAAGAGATTTTCACGTGTGCTATGTTTATTGTAACCACCACCGACTCATTTTAACGTCAAAGGCATATTATGCTGTTACGCGTCAGAGCATTCTTAGGTTCTGTATGGTTGGAGATCGACTGCCGAATCTGCAGCGGTACATCGATACTCATCCGGGTGAAAAAATTGCGTGCAACGGCTCAGCGCTGACGATAATCTTCTGTGAAAATGCTACCTCTCTGGATACGTGCGACCCGTACTTCATGAACGCCTGGAGGATGGGCGAGATTCGAGAAAACCAGGCGATCACCGGATTGACCAGCAATGCAATTAAAGGTAAGAATTAAAACAAATTTTACAGTTTCCCTTAATTACCAGCTTCCATCTATGAAGGTGCTGAGACCTTCGGGAAACTAGTAATTCTTCGGTAATACTGTTAGTTTCAAGTCCAGTTAGAGTTGATAATTATACCTGAGTATAATGCAAGGTTATATCGCCCCCTTATATCTAAATGTCTAGA